AAATTAGTTTTTAATAAAAATATTAAAAATTAAATCATAATTACGAACATAAAAATATTAAACAAAAAAATAATCTAAAAAAATAAAATCTAATTTAAAGAAGTTGAAATTATTAATTTTTTTATTATAGATAAGTTTTTTTATTACTTCTTTTAATGAAAATTATGTAAAATCAAATAAACCTTATAAAATTCATCTAAATATTACTAATATAAGGCAAAAATTTTACATTGATATCTAGAAAATTTCAAACTACCAAACATTAATTCAAAACTAGTTAACAATAAGTAAAATAGTTAATATTATATTTAAGCACATATTATTTTATAAATCGGTGGAATTTTTTTTATTTTTTTAAATAATAGTATTGCACAACTTCAGTTACCTGGTAGATATTAAAAGTTGTCTACTCTTTTAGATTGTATTTGGAAAGGTGTATTTATATTTGATGTGTGTATTTGAAATACATATATTTAAAATATATATTTTAAATATATATTTCATATATTTTAAATATATATTTCAAAATACATTGTTTAGATTAATTTTTTTAAAATAAATTTTGAATACATATATATATTTAAATATATTGTTTCGATATATTAAAATGTAATTATTTAAAATTTAATTTTTATTAAATTAAACTCTCTTTTAATTGTTTGGATGAAATATAAAAATTTAGAATTGAAATTCATGAGTTAGAGAATGTATTTGAAATACATGTAATTTTAACTTTGAAATATAAAATTTCAAATACATGTATTAGATGAAATTCAAATACATTACATTTAAGTAAAAATAAACAATGTATTTAAATTTCAAATTTCAAATTTAAATACACTTTAACTAAATTCAAGTACCCACATATCATTAATAATTTGTGTTATACAATTTAAATTATAAAATAACTGTTCCTTTTTTTTTTCTTTGGTATGGGTACAGATTATATAGTATTAATACCATTTTCTTTAACTTTTGAGGAGCCTTTCTTAGCTTTAAACAATGGCGATGAGAGCTTCTCTTAAAATTCTATGTTGGGGAATTAAATAAAATAATATAAAGTAGATTTTTTTTCTTTTTAATTAATAAAATTAAGAAATAAAAAATAAAATTGCCAATATTTAAATAAATTTCACTACTCTACTCAAAAAAATTGTGAACATTAAATTACAATAATAGTTGGCTTATAAAGTAAATTGTGCCCACATAGAATGAAAAGAGACTCATTTGAGTCTTTACGGGTAGTCTTGCGTGTCGCGTGTCCAGAAAGAGATATTGCGTGGACTTTACAAAAACTCGTGTACAATTTTTTCTTTTTTGATACCGAATGACATTTTCTATACTTAAAATCACAGATACCAAACCTAGCTTACCATTATGCTAGGCAAAAACCACAAAATTGCGCCTTCAACCACTAAATTTTGAAATTGATTTTCACAAGCTATAACTTTGAGACTCTAAGTTCTGAGATTTATGATTTTCAATCCAAATTAACAACAAAATAAATGGGTGTCTCAAACTTTATTAATATCCCGTTATTGATTGGTCAAATCATCACCACTCACATTTATGTATCCATGTCAATGAAGTTTAGTAACTCTTAGTTCTGCCAATAATTAAAGGTTTATTTAATTTACATTTTAAGTGTATAAATTAATTATGTAATAAATATATTTTTTAATTAATTTATATAAAAATTTATAAAAATTAATATATATTTTAATATCATTGATGCATAAATAATTTTAATTAATTAATTCAATTAAAATTTATATTTATATTTTTAATAAAAATTAATTATCAAAAAATATATTTATTATATATTTATCCTATGTACTACGTCAAGTACATCATAAAAGAACCCAGTAATTAATCAAATATTTAACCCTTACAATTAATTTTTTTAAACAAAAATACAATTCATCAACACCAACCATCGCTCTCCACAAGAATTCAACCAAAACCATCTCTCTCTCTCCAGTTTCCACCTTCCTCTCCCTACTTCGTACTTCCTCCTCATCCCCCTCCTCCTCTGTCTTCATTTTTTTTTTTTAATTGAGTTCCCCATAAAACCTAACTTTGAATTTCTATTAGAACCCAAACAAATTATGGATAGTTTAATTTCTAAGTTTTCAGAGAATAACACATCATCGACAATAAATTTTTAAAATCTTATTTTACCAAAAATACTTTTTAAAATTTTGTGAAAATACAGTGCATCAAATACAATAGTTATTGATTATAGGCTTTGCCAAACATCCCTTTGCCCATTTGACCTGTGAAAATTCCTTCCACCATTTGTCTTCTCTCAAAAAGGAAAAAAAAAAAAATGCTTTTCACTAGAAAATCATTTTTTCTTCTATTTCACAGATACTCTTCTTAAGCAACCATAATTAAGTTTCGTGTCGCTCTTTAAGAATTAATGGTTTGATTCTTTGATACCCTTTCCTTTCTTCTTACTCATCCTCTAATTTTCAAAAAATAATCTTTTTTATTTCACCACACTTCCTAATTTGTCTATTAAGATTCTTAAATTTATGTATGTAATCAAACATAAATTAATTTGTTTTGATTTTTTTTATTTAATTAAATTTAAATGAGATAAAATAATAATAAAAAATTCATCCATCCAAAACCACAAACACCCATACATAGAAATGCGTCAGTCAACATTTGAAATGATTAAATTGCCCTCACAAAGCAAACTGCAGAGACCAAAATACCCGAAAGTTAACCCATTAGCTACCTAAAAATCAGCTTTTGTTAATTAATAAAAATTTGATTAAATCCCTAATTTTCTATACTTAAGATCACAAGATACCAAACCAGGCTTAGCATTATGCTAGGCAAAAACCACAAAATTGCGCCTTCAACCACTGAATTTTGAAATTGATTTTCCCTAGCTATAACTTTGAGACTTTAAGTTTTGAGATTTAAAATTTTTAATCTAAATTAACAATAAAATTAATGGGTGTCTCAAACTTTGTTAATATTCCATTATTGATTGGCCGCATCATCACCACGGACGTTTATGTGTCCACGTCAATGAACTTCAGTAACTCTTAGTTCTACTGATTCATTAAAGGTTTATTTAATTTGAATTTTAAAGATATAAATTAATTATGTAATAAATATATATTTTAATTAATTTATATAAAAACTTATAAAAATTAATATATATTTTAATATTATTGAAATATGAATAATTTTAATTAATTAATTAAATTAAAATTAATATATATACTTTTAATAAAAATTAATTATTAAAAATATATTTATTATATAATTACCTCATGCACCTAAGGTACATAATAGGAAAACTTATTAATTAATCAAATATTTAATCCTTTCGATTAATTTTTTTAAACAAAAATACAATTCGTCAGCACTAACCATCACTCTCCATTGGAAATTCAACCAGAACCATATCTCTCTCCAGTTTCCACCTTCTTCTTCTCCTACTCCTTCCTCCCTTGTCCCTCCTGTGTCTTCATTTTTTTATTTTAATCGAATTCCCCAAAAAAAACTAAACTCTGAATTTATAAGAGAACCCAAACAAATTATGGATAACTTAATTTCTGTTTTTCAGAGAAAACACAACATCGACATTAATTTTTTCAAATTTTATTTTACCAAAAAAACTTTTTTAAAATTTGTGAAAATACATGGCGTCAAATACAATAGTTATTGATTACAGGCTTTGCCAAACATGCCTTTGCCCATTTGACCTGTCAAAATTCCTTCCACCATTTGTCTTCTCTCAAAAAG